GCTCGTCTTTGTCCCCTCTGTCCCTCCCACAGGGAAGTGGTTCGTGAGCACAGGGAAGGACAACCTGCTGAATGCCTGGCGGACGCCCTACGGAGCCAGCATCTTCCAGGTGCGGGGTGTGCACAGCCATCGGGGTTAGGGTTGAGGGGGGGAGATGCTCCTCTGGCTGAGGTTTCCCAGAGCTGGAGCTGCACAGTACAGCCCAGCTGTAAATGTATCTTAGCCATAATGTGCCCTGTAACCAAACTCGTACCCAGGGAAGCTGCAGGGACAACTCGGGGCCCCAGGATGGGGGAGTGGGACCTGGCTCTGGGGCTGCTTCTTGTGCTTACCCCCTGCCCTCCTCTCTGCAGTCGAAGGAAACCTCCTCCGTCCTCAGCTGCGATGTCTCCACGGATGACCAGTTCATCGTGACTGGCTCAGGGGACAAGAAAGCTACAGTTTACGAGGTCATTTACTGAAAGCAAGAGGTGCTGACTGGGGGGAGGGCCCATGCCACGTGGACAGGCAGACATCCACGTGGATGGATGGGTGGACTCTACCTGCCCTGCTGCTGACTTCCCAAAGGACGTGCAGCCCGTGGCTGGGGCATCTGAGCCGGAGGAGAGCAGTGAGGGGTGGAGGTGGCCCTCAGACCACAGCCAGGTGTCATGCTGGGCTGGGAGGTGGCAGCTGCTGCTCGGGGTGAATTTCCTGGAGACTTTCTCCTTGTTTTGTTCTTTATTTGTTGTTTTGTTTCTAAATCTGGACTGGGGGTGGGGTGTGTGTGAGGGGTGTCTGGTGGTGTTAGGGGTTTTTTTTTATTATTTTTAATGTTTTGCTGGGGTTTTTTTTTTTTTTTTTTGGTTAAGGCTCTGGGCTAGGTTGGGGAGGATGGGCTCTGTTCTCATGTCCCTCTGTGCCTCCTAGGGTGTATTTAATAATAAAAACAAACAAAAAAGCCAAGCTGTGCCTTGTCCTGGGCAGCAGCCTTGGTGCTCCATGGCTGGGGGTGAGGATGGGTGAGACCTGGGGAGCCGAGGCAGGACCATCATCCCCTTTGGCCCCTGTCCTGCATCGGGGCACGCTTGCTGCGCTGCTGCCAGGGCCGTGGGGCCTGGCAGCAGGACAGGGTTGCCTG